AGAGAGAGAGAGAGATACGGAGGTGCTGGGAGCTCACAGAGATTGGGTCTGAACCCATGTAGGAGGGAGCGGGGCTCAGCAGGACCCAATGTGTGTGCATGTGCACTTGTGTTCAGGGCTATGGAGGGTGAGTGGGTGAATGTCATGGGTGCTAGGTGAGGTTGTGTGTGTGATGTAAGGGTGCTGGGTGCACGTGTGTCCCTAGCGCACCCTCCCCTTTCCCCACCAGATGTGTCTGTGCAGTGGTTCTGGGGAGGAGGGGAGGAGCCTCCCGCAGCCGCTAGCCTGCCTGGCCATCTTCCCCAGGAAGCCAGAGATGGCCAAGCTGCCCCTCCCCCAAAACCTCCTAGGGTTAAGGGGAAGGGAGCAGGCCAAGCCCCAGGAAAGAGGGGAAAGGCTGAAGGGACAGAGCTCCTGCCAGACCAGGAAGCCAGGCTGCCTTCTCCATCTCTGCCAGATCGCTCAGCCCCATGCTCTGCCCCTCCCAGGGCCCTGTGCTCCTGGGTCTGAGTGTGTAGAGGGCCAACATCTCAGATTGGGGCTGGAGGTGGGGGTTGGGATAGGTTGAGACTCATCTGTGAGGGTTAGCTTGTTCACAGTTGTAGTACCAGAAGGGTGCTGGGCACATAGTAGCCTCCATAAATATTTGTGGGTGGAAGGGAGGATAGGGAGAAGAGAGGGAGGGAAGGGATCTCAGGCTGGGAGTCAAGTCCCTGCCCTCTGCTATCAGTCAAGGATAAGGGCCGCTGGTTGTAGTCAGACCCAAGTCCCCAGATTGAGCGGGTGGGGGAGGCAGGGGTTTAGGGAGAGGGAGCCTTAGCTGGAAGAGAAGGGAAACTGTAGGGGACAGATTTGTGCAGGGGCCTGAGTAGAGGAAGGAGCTGGCAACTCTCCTGGGGCAGAGCCCTTCTCTGCTATCAGAAGCCTCCCTCCGGGGCATTCCTTCCCAGGCAGCCAGGGCTCATAGTGCCTCTCCTCTCTCCAGGACCCTCATACTCAAAAGGTGCTGAAGAACTGAGCCCGCTGCACACTGAGGCCCCCTGAGGCCAGGTGGGGCCATGGCAGGGCATGGCTGTCTGGGCCTGGGGCTGTTCTGTTGGGTCCTGCTTGCTGTTCCCGTGGGCCCCCAGCCTGCCTCCTCCGTCCCGGGTGCCCCTCTCACCACTTTGACTCCACCACCTCAGAGTGAGGCCTCTATGCTGTCTCTCAACCTGGGACTTAACTTCAAATTCCACCTTCGGGGACCTGCTGCTGCCTGGGGGAGTCCTGTCACAGAGACCCAGTCGCTCTCGATTGGGCCGAGCCGGGAGCTCGAGGGAGAAGTGGCCAGTGGATTGAAGACCGACCCGCTTTGGGAATTGCTGATGGGCTCCCTTGGAAATTCTCCCCCAGAGTGGGGCTCTGCTGAAGGCAGCTCAACGCCCTGGGCCTCCTCCCAGCCTCTAGAGTCCACATCTGTCTTCTCTGGGCCCACCGGCCGGCCCACTGCTCCCTATCAGCCCAGGATAGGCACCTGGGACACTGCTCTGATGGCTACAGCACCCCAGTCCAGTGCTCCCCGGCCCCACCAGAGTGAGCTGGAACTGAAGTTTGACATGGCGCTGAGAGCAGGCGCAGCGCCCACGCTTGGGCATCGAACGCTGCCTCTGCTGCCCAGCCTGCGGGCCAGCCTGGCAGAGATTGCTGGGCGCCTGGGACCCTTTGGTGAGTACCCATCCCATTCTGAGGAGAGCCCCTGCTGGGCAGCCTGGCAGGTAGGAGGAAGCTGAAGCCTAGGTTACCCTTTTGCAGGGTTCTTTGGCACTACTCTGTCCCCACTCCGGAACTTCTCAGTCCCGAGCCCCCCGGGCCTAACTACATCCCCAAGCTCTGCCTCTGGTGTTTCTTCGGATTCTCCAGGTGAGTGTTTATTTTATTACATGAAACATTCACAGAACACCTCTATATGTCAGGCACTGTGCTAGGGGCCTAACCAGCACCTCCCTTTCTTCCTTGACTCAAGGGAGGCCAGCATTGCTTCCTTCAGGACCTGGGACATGGGCCACGACTCCCAGCGGGAAATTCCCTCTTTGCCGTACTGAGTCTGGTTTGGTCCTTGGAGCTTAGCTCCTGGTGTACATGTGGTTACAATGCCCCAGACAGTGGCTCCCTTAGGTCAAGCTCTGGGGAAGGACAGGCTTTTTGCCAAAGCCCCAGAGACCAAGGCCTGCTGGTAAGATGGCAGTCGAAACCCATGTGCTCCCTTTGCAGGGTTCTTTGGCACTACTCTGTCCCCGCCCCCATCCTCCCTGGAGAGAAAGCTCCCAAGCCCAGGCCCACGAGACCCAACTGCTTCCCTAAGCTCTACCTCGATTGCAACAGCATCACTAGGTAAGTATTCAATTCATTTGAATTGACAATTATTCATTGAGCACTTACTACATGCTAGCCACCCACTGGTGTTCTGGGATTCTTTTATTTCCTTGTCATCATAGTCACCCTTCTCTTCATTATCACCATGGTGATACATATGAATGGACTGAGAACAAGTGTTGCTGGGGTCAGCCATGCACAGAGTTAAGTAATGATCGTCTGGGAGTTCAGCAATCACAGGCAGAGCAGGATATAGACAAATACATCAAACAGACACAATCTCCTTCATGATTTCCACAGCCTCAGCAACAACCCCACCCTCCCCTCGTCTGCCTGGCTTGCCCCCCCCACCCCCACCCCAATCCTGGGGTGCTCTCCTTTGCCCTGTGATCTGACATGACATGCTGTCAGATAAGGGCAGAGCTGGGCCGCTCATTGGGAAAACGGTGAAGCCCTTAAGCAGACAGACGCCATCCTTGTTCAAGGGAGCCTTTCAGAAGACACACACAGACAAGCGGGTGGTACAGGGAAAGACCAGGGGCTCGGAAAGCTTGAGACTTGCCCTTGAACTCTAATTCCCTCACTAACTGTCTGGGTGACCTTGGGGCAGGTTATTTAGCCTCTCTGAGGCTCCATTTTCTCATATATCTAGGGTTTAATAATATTACCTATTTTAGTATGAAGCTTCCGGATAATGTACGCTCCTGGCATGAGGCCAAGCACAAAGTAGAAGCTCATTCAATAGTAGCTGTTATCCTGGTTTCTTCCACCCCTGCATCCCAAATACACTTCCAGACCCTACCTCCCAGACACTGCAACCCTGGTCCCAAGATGTGATGGGACAGCACATGACCCACAGGACAGAAGGCACTCTGCTTGGGGAGAGGTTCTGGTAGATGTGGCCCTGGGGAAGGATCCAGGCCCCAGCTTTGCTCTGCAAAGGGTTTACCGTAGCTGTGAATCCACTCAACAGTGGAAGCCACTGGTCTCCCAGCTTCTTCCAGTTCCAGACTCAACATAGCACCTGACTCTCACTCGCTCCTGCGTGGTCATTGCACTCCTGGGAATGTGGGTGAGGAAGCTGCCACCCTCTCCCCATCCAGCTCAGTGTGTAGCAGTGGCAGGGTTGCGGGTGGGCTCTGTGGCCTCAGGGGAAGGATGATGGCTGGCACTGTGTCGGCCTTGGTGACAGTGCTGGCCAGGCAGGTTTAAGGAGTCTGGACAGTATCAGAGGCCGCCCAGCTTGCCAGCACCCCCTCCTTTCCCGTCCTCACTGATGGCTGCAGGAACTCAGCCTCTTCCTGGCTATTCCTCTTGGATAAACCCAGGAGCTCTATAGGCCTCTTGGAGAGAAGACCAAAGGGCCTTGCTGCAGCCAGCAGCATGTGTGGGCAGTAGTATCAAGCAGTTAGGGGACAAAGGGAGTCTCTCTGTGTCTCCTCTAGGAATTTTCTAACCTAGATGTGGTTAACCTTTGACCCTGGGCTTCCCTTCCCTTGCGTTGGGTCCCCTTCACTTTGGACAGAGTTTGTACTCAGCCGGTACACATGGAAACAGTTGTACAGGTCGTTAACACATTGAAAGGCTTTCATACCAGTGATAAGTACCCAATGCCCTTAGCCCCAGAGCACTCCCCTCCACTCCCTGACCACCCTGGCTGGCACCTGTGCCGTTTCCAGTTGTTAACTATTTCAACTGTCACCCTTACAAAAAATATCAATCCTCCATAATCTTGGAGGTGGGGGTGGGGAGAGGGATGGGGCCAGGCCGTGATCCCCCAGCCCTTTGATCTGGGCAGCTGGTGGATAATCAGGCCTGACTTTTCCATAAATCCAGCTGGCCCCTCTCCCCGACTCCTCCCTAGCTAGCTAGCTAGCTCTGACCTCACCAATTACTCACACTGACATCCCATCTCCTCTCTCACCCCTGAGGTCAAGAGGGGCCACAGGGCCAGAGTGGGACCATCTTGTAAGGGAGGCCTGCTCACAAGAAGGATCCTAGGAAGTTACTATCTTCTGGGGGAAACTGAGGGCTCCTTCTGGGGAAGCCGCAAAAGCGGAGATGGGGTTGAGGTCAACTGGACCCTTCAAAGGCAGAAGCTGCATCTCCTTTGCCTGTTCCCACCCATACGTGGCTCAGTGCTGGGCACACTGGATATAGCCTGCCTCCTGGAAGCAGTGCTCCTAGTCAGAGTCAGAACTCTCTCCTCTGACATCGGAGCTGTGCCTGTACTTTCCCAATCTTCTGGGTTTTTTTCATTTTCTGGCTTCTTAGGAATGTTGACATGTGTTCTAGTGTCCATAGTGCTTTGGGACAGAGGTGAGAGATGGGGCTTCTTGCGGCCCTCGGGGATAATTGGAACAGACCTGAGAGCTGCACTTGTCTATGTAGTGGGGTGGCACAGGCTGTGGGGCTCCTGGGCACAGTCTCTCTGCCTCTCTGCAGAGCCCACCAAAGCCAAGGAAACTCATCCACTTTGCAGAAGTGGGTTGGGCAAGGGCATCTGAGGGGACCGAGGAGTGAAGGTGAGGGTAACGGAGGGAGTGTATGTATTTGACGTTGCTCACGTCAGACTGATGCCTACCCCTGATCAGCAAGCTGTCTGTTCCCGGATGAATGATTCCTCCTTTAACTCATGGTCGTGTCTTCATTTGGTGTTCAGGGATGGTCGGCCCATCCAAATGGTGTTCTTCAAGCAGGGTTCACACAGTGAGACGATGTGTTGGTGGTCACTCATTGGACTAATTATTGATTTTGTAAAGCAGTTGAGGATGTGCTAAGAAATAGCAGTCTTTTGTCAGTTAAATCAAGACTAGGTTGAGGCCAGAAATGGTCACACTTACACAAACACAAGCTGATGATCGGTAATAAACATTAGCCGGTAATGATGACAATCATACATTGAATGCTTGTCATGTACCAGGCATTCCAAATATCTTGGCACATATGGTGTATTTTTTGTCGTAACAGCTTATGTAGTAGGTACTTTTCTCCATTTCAGATTTGAGGAATACAGTGGAATGGAAACCAGGGCACATGCTGCCATTTGCCCTGGTCGCATGTAGGCCGCATGTGGATGTTTAATTTTTTGCTCCCTCTCTCTGTCCTCTCTCTCTCTGTCCTCACAGGTGTCTGATTCTATCTTACTCTCCTCTCTCTCTGGAGCTGCTTTCTGCCCTTCTCACTCCTTTTCCTTGTTCCCAGGACTGCTGTGTTTTGCATGTCCCCAGCGTAAGCTGGCACTGCCTGAGGTGGGCTGTTCCTGAGGTCTTCCCGTATTGCCCAGCTAAGGGGTCTTCCCGTATTGTCCAGTTGAGGCATAGCTGGGGCATGGCCAGGCAGTTGGGGCAGGAGCCTGGTGTTCAGGAGACTCTCCCCACCTCATTCTACATCTGCCTCCTGTTCACCTCCTCGTCCCCACCAGGCTGTCCCCGTCCTTCACCACCATCTTTCTCCCTCCATCCTTGCCTGCAGCTGCAGTTCTGCTGAGCCTGCTAGATGGAGTAGGGAGAGGTTCAGCCTCCAGTACCCTCTCTTGCTGCCTGGTCATGGGGAGAATGCTTGGGTCTAAGTCTTTCTAACTCTTCTCTTGCTCCGGGATAGTAGGTCTAGGGATCTTACTTCTCACCCTCTCTTACTTGACTTCCCTTTTGCCCAGGAGGTAGTGAAGATGTTGGAACACAGGATTGGGATGGGGGCCTGAGTTAGTGAACCACAGGGCAACCCCTGAGTGGCTCACTCAATAAGATGGCATTTTATCTCACTATGATCTCCCAGTTGCTCCTTCCTAGGAGTTCAACGGTAGCCTTGAGACACAGAGGAGTCCATCTAAATGTCACCTGCTATAAAATGGGGCTAGAACCAAAAGGGCACCTATACTAAAAGCCTTAGACCAATGGCTTTGTGACCGAGTCAGGATGGGGATCACAGCCGTGGGTAGACGGTGTAGCAGGCAGGAAGGCCAGTGAATAGGAGAGGTGTGCTGGGGACAAGAGTGTCTCACTTCTTTCCCTGGTGCATATGTGTGTGCATGTGTGCACACGTGTGCCCGTGTGCGTGCGTGTGTGTGCGCGTGCGTGTGTGTGTAGGGGCTTTCCTGAAGAGACAGTGAGAAGGGGGAAGCCGTTGAAAAAGGGCAGGGGAAGCTTCTCCTAGCATCCAGGTGGGAGTTGGGAGTCAGGGGTGCAGAACAAGACATAGGCAAACAAGTATTATGAAGAGGCTCTGGAATTGTAGAAGGGGGCTCAGACCGGTGCTCAGATCTGGATTCTAGTGGCAGCTCTGCCAATTTGTGATCTTGGACAAGTCGCTTTGCCTCTCCGCGGACCCTCCGTATCTTCACCTGGCAAATAAGAAGGTTCATTTATCCAAAGAATGTCTGCTCAGTACCAGCTCTTTGCCGGGCACCCTTTCAGGCGTGGGGATTCAGACGTGAACAAAGCCAACAGAAATCCTTGTTCTTGTGAAGCTTCCTTCCAGATGGGAGGATTGAACTAGCGGGGCCATCTACTGTCCCGTCCAGTCGTAAAATCCTGGGACTTAAGAAAAACCCTTTGCAGGAGAATCACAGAGTGATGAAGGGAAATGAACAAAACAGGGAGCTGGGATGGGATGGGAGAAGGGAAGAGAGCGGAAACTAACTGCCTGAGGAGTTTGATGGGGGAGGGGAAAGTGAGGGGCCAAGAGGTCTGGGAAGGGGAGGGCCTCATATTTAAGACAAGTGCATTCTGGATGCTATGAGGACTCTCACTGGCATAACAGGCTACGGGCTGTGGGGACAGGAGTGGCAGGGGAGGGCTGCACAAATGCCTCAGGCACATGTTCTTTGCCCACAGACCCCACTATCCCCACCTCTGGCCCAGATGACCCCTCACCTGCCAGCTTTGGGATCACTTCCACACAGCCAGAATGTGGGCCCAGGTCCTGCAGCATCGGAGAATTGCCTGAAGGCGAAGGCCAGCCTCCTGCGGCCCCTTTGCCCCTCTTCTTCCTGACCCTGGAGGCCGACTGGGCAGAGGCCAGGGCTCGCTGGGGGCTGGCCTGGGAGGCCCATGTGTACGGGGTAGGCGCGCTCTTCGGCCTGGTGGCCCTGCTGGCGCTGCTGGCTCTGGCCCTCTTGCCCTGGCGCTGCCCGCCCGGCGCCCCCTGCCTGGCGCTGCTGGACCTGCTTCTGCTCTCGGCCGGGACCACGCGGGCCTTCCCGCTCTTCTACGACGCCTATGGGCACCGGGACAGGCTCCCCGCTCTCGCCTGGCTGCTGCTGCAGGACCTCCCGCTGCCCTGTCTGGCCGCCGGCCTGGGCCTGGCCTGTCTGCTGCTGGCCCGCCCGCGCCCGCCACGGTGTCCCGCCGGCCTGGCCGCGCTGCTGCTCCTGGGGCTGGGGCTGGCGGCGGCCGCCGCCCTCGGGAGCGCTGCCCACCGCCCGCTGCAGCCCTTGCGACTCGCCTCCCGCGGGCTGCACGCCTTCCTCGCTGCCCTCCTGTCAGGGCTCCTGCTGGCGCTGTCCTGCTGGGGTGGTCGGCGGCGGCGGGCCGGAGCGCCCCTGGGAGGGTCAGGCTTCAAGGGCGCAACCCCTCTCCCGCAGGCGCGCAGCCCCTTCGCCCCGCGGGAGTCCTGGCGGCGCGCGGCGCGTACGGCCCCGGTGGCGGGCACCTTCGGGCTGCTGAGCGGAGCCCTGCAGGGCTACGAGGTGCTGCACGCCCTGGGCTATGGCGGCCAGCCTGGCTTGGAGGGGCCCTGGCCCTGGTGGGCCTTCCAGCTAGGCCTGCGCCTAGGCGAGGTGGGCGTCGCGCTCCCGTTGGCGCTGCTGGGCCTCTACCCCGCGCTCTGCAGCCCCCGCGTGCCGCCGCGCTGCTGGGCCAAGCTCTTCCGCTTGTCCCCTGGCCACGCGGCTCCGCTGCTACCCGGCCGCTGGGTCACCGTGCAGCGGGACAAGGAACCCCTGGGTAGCGCCATCGCGCGTGGCGATGCGGAGCTGCTGCAGCTGTGCGCCCTGGCCGGACCCGGCCCGGATCTCCTATTCCAGGGAGGTGCCCGCCCCGGCTTTGAGGGGAGGGCGGCCAACCCCGCCCCTTCCCCGGCCTCCTCCCCCTGCAGCGATTACACAGTGGATTTCCGCCCGCCTTCCCCAATCAACCTGCGGCGCAGCATCGAGGAGGCACTTGGCAGCGAGTCCCTGCTCGCGCCCGGCCTCTTCCAGGGCCCTGCCTTCGGGGAAGCCCTACCTGGGCTCGGCCTTTACAGCACCGCCACCCTGAGGGCGAAGACCAGGCCGGTGCCCAGTGGGATGTCTGAAGAAGCCCCTGGCTCCCCCGTGCTACCTGAGCTCCCCTCTCCCGGGGCCTGGCCCGCGGGCAGTAGTGCCTCATCCGGCTCGCTGTGCGGACTCTCCCGGGACAGCTCGTCCATGCTGCTATGCTCCAGCCCAGACAGGCCCCCGCGCTGTCCGCTGGTCTGCGTCCTCAGTCCTCCTCGGCCCTCAGGAAGCAGCCCTAGCCTCCCGGCCTCAGGATCCTACCAGGCCCTGTCCCCACCCTCCCACGACTCCCCAGAGCCTTCTCCTGAGCTGCAGGTTGAAGAGGCTTTGCTGCAGGAGCAATTCCTGGATGCCTGTCGACAGATAGATGAGCTGAGCATGGGCAGCGACACCATTGACCTGTGAAGAGGTGGGCCCCTCAGTGCCCGGCCATATTCCCCCTGCTGGCGCCTGCTCTGCCAGAGACCTGCACACTGTAACCCTTCCCCAATCCTGCCTGGCCCAGATACCTCTCCCTGCTTCCTTCCCCATCCAGGGGCCCCTGGGTGTGGGTGGGTCAGTAGCCAGGCTCTGTTGATTGGAAATTAGTGCCCCCTTTTCTGGAGCCCTGGGTGCTGATGCCCTCAGCTGCAATTCTAGGCTGTCAGGGGTCCCACTTTCCTTGGCATTCACCAGCAATAAAGCTCCAAGGTGCTCCATTTCTGACCACCACTCCCCACTCTGGTGCTGAGTGAGAGGGGCTGTCCTCAGAAGACCTCGGGACCAGCCTCAGTCCCACACCCACCTCTGCCATGTCCAGGAGCCCCATCCTAGTCATCCACATGACCCTTCCCTATAGAAGGGTCCCTGGCCCATCTAAGAGACTCTACTGCAATTGGGTGGGAGGTGACCCCTATCAGAGTTAATTTATCAATAAAATATTTTCAGAGGAGAAAGGTCTGACCTTCTTGGAAAATCTTCGATGAAGCAACAGCAGCAGTGGTTCTGTCAGAACTGGGAAAGCAGCAGCATTTGGGTGGGGTAGGTCCAACTCAGACCCCAGAGACATTCGCTCTTGACTGCAAGTTTTGTCCTGTGGCTGGCATGAGTGAGGGTCTTGGGAGAGGCCCCTTGAAGACCCTTCTGACTCTCTGGGAAGTGGCTTTTCAGAGATGGAACATGGCCCTGAGAGGTGAGGAAGGAACTCTACAGCCATTGGTGGAAATGTCTGCATTCCTAGGAGCTTGGCTTCAGGTCCAGTTGGGCAGGGGGCTAGGGACTAGCTAGTGGTAAACTTCTTTGTGGAAATGTTCACACACATATCAATGGCTTGATCACCTTGACCTGGGAGCCCCAGCAATGTCCCTCCCACGATCCCAGGGGATTTCACAAGTGCTCCCCCTACCAACAGGGCCCATTCAAGGTTAGAAGCACAACCCCACGTCCTCTGCAGAACACTCGTCTCCCATAGGGGCAGATCCTCCCTGGAGAAAGCCTGTATTCCCCAAACTCTAGCCGTATCCTACCTACCAGAACAGGACTCCCAGTGCAGGGACCCATGAATACATCCAGCCACCAGCACTCTGTAATCCCTCCCTTGCCCAGAGCATTTGGCTCAGTTCTGTAGTGTGCATTTGTCATTTGGCTAGAATATAGTAAATTCAGAGTGGCACTAAAACAGGGTCATAGATTAGGTTTGAAAAAACAAAAATCTGGCAGTGTGTTGGCAGATGTCCTACAGGGGGCACACATACTAGGCTTGAAGTGGAAACAGGAATACGGGTGGGTTTTATTCCAATTCTGCCCATCAGCTGGTGGGGATTTGAGAAGGAAAGAAGGGGAGCCAATAGGGAGGCAGGCAGGGAGGGGGCGGGATAAAGAGGGGGATAAAGGAGGGAGGTTGGGTGGAGGGGTGGGAGGATGGGCCCTCACTGGACCAGGTCCAGTGCACTAGTGGAAAAATTAAAGCCCTGCTGTCCTTGCACATGAAGATCTGTCTTGGCTGAAAGGAGTGTCCAGAGCCTGGGACCTCAGAAGGAGGAGGAGAGTCAGTGATGTCTGGGACAGAGGGAGGGTCATAGGGAAGAAAATGAGAGGAAAGTGGGGCTGGTACAGCTGAGGGATGGGACTGGAATGATTCTGACTGTGTCTCCTCCATCACCTGGCTCAGCTTGGCTCAAAAATTCTTGCTGCATCGTCACTCTGGGCTGAGGCCCAGAGAACTGCCAGCCTCCTAATTACAGGCATTTCTCACTGGTGGTGTAGTGGCTGTAGTGGCCCAGCATCGAAGCTGCTTTGTGTCATGGAAGGAGTGCTTGCTGTTTGGAGGAATTGCTCTTTCTTCCTCATGCACCCTTCCATCTGCATCTGCTCACACTCAACTCCTCTCTGCCGTCTTTTCCTCACCCTAATATTTGTCAGCTGCTCTCACTCCACTCACTCGCTTCATTAAGGGCCCTTGAGATCATGCACACACCTCCCAAAAAGCTGTCCAAGCCCCACATACCCCAGTCACTGTCTCTCTCTTTCTCTCTCGCTCTCTCCTCTCTCTCTCTCTTTCACTGCTTTTCTATCTGGAAGCTCTGAATGGGGCTAGTGAGATGGGGGAGGATGTGGGTGGGGGGAGGGAATACAGCTGGTTGTTCACCAGCTCCAACACTTCTTTGATTTTCCTCAGGAAGAATTACCTTTGATTTTACAAAGAGGCTGAGACCTTGGTGAAACTACCCTTCTTTTTGTCTCATTCCTCAGCCCTTACCAAAAGCAGGTTTTCCAGAGGTAATCCTGATGCATACACCCTTCAATTCCAATTCTTAGTACAGTAGGAGACTGAGAGAGAGAGACAAACTCACCCTCATTCATTCAACCTCTTTAAAACATTTCATTGAATACTTATAAAGTGCTGGTGCAGAGGATAGAGGTGAACAAAGTGGACACTAGCCCTGAACTTATGAAGTTGAAGTTCTTTTGGGGAAGGCAAACATTAAAGAGTTAATCATATAAATACTTACAATAGAACAAGTAACTAATAACAGTTGTGAGAAGTGCTAAGAAAGAGAAGCGTGCAGTGTTATAAGGTTTGATTGCAAGGGGGAGTGGAGCCAAAGGGATGGATGGGGCTTTGGGAGAAGTTGGCTTGAGCACAGTACAGCCCTCTTTCCTTTTCCTGGCTTCTGCACAGTGATGGATGAGAAAGAAGCCAGCGGTTTATTTCCCCTGGAAGCCCCAGTGCTGGTGTGGTGCAGGGTACCACGATTCCTGCTGTTTAATAAAAAAACCCTGCATGTGTCCTTGGTAGATGGATGAGCAAATATTCCTGATCAAAGAACCATGTGGCCTCCATGATATGAATGGATGGGGCTGCGGCTGAGGCTGGGAGATTGAAATGGGGAGCCAGCTCGGAAACTTGGAAAGTGTAGGAAGGGTCAGCTGCATTGTTATCTTCCCCTAGGGCGCAGAACTCTTCCACACTGTGGGTGGCTGCTGCCCCCTGATGGGCACAAGGGCACAGTTTCATTTTGTCCTTTAAGGGAGGTTTGGGTCCTAAGTATTTAAAACAGCATTGTAGAGGTCGTACCAAAGGAAAGTTGAAACATCCAACTTTCTTAGAGTTTTCCCTGTGCACACTGCAGCCTGGACAGGGAAGGTCTCCCCATAGCTGGGACCCTAAAGCTTGCAATTTAGTTTTTGGGGATGGAATTTTGATTGCTAAGGTGGTGAAGGGGGAGAAGGGGAGGAGGAAAAAAAAAAAGAAGAAATGTGAAATCCTAAACCAACTTTACTCAAACGGCCCATCATGTTTCCTTTGTCTATTTGTCTTTCTTTATCCTGGATAGGATTAACCCCGTAGTCTTAACATTTTGTTCTGTATTTTAATACTTCCTCTCCTGAGTTATGTATTTCAAAATAACTGTTACTTAACTGGAACTAGGGCTTCATAAATCTGATGTTAAGTGTTCTCCCCTTTCCCCTATTACTATCAATCAGTCATCCATCCATCCAGAATGTATTGAAAGTAAAAGGGGTGTGAGGAGAAAGGGAAACCTATACTGTTTGTACTTTTTGAATTTTTACCTACCATGTGTTCAGGTTATATTATTTAAAAGTAATTATTAAAAAGTACATTGGGTACTTTTACAGCTGGGTGTTCTGCAGGGTGCTGCAGTCTTCCACACAGGTCAGTTCCTGAGCCAGTGGGATGGCAAAGCTCTGTGTTTCAGGATCCAGGAGCACCCAGATCTCCTCCTGGCCAGTGGGATCCCTCAGCCTTGGGTCTGTCTGGTAAACTGACCCAAGGAAAGAGCTCCTATTTCTGGGAGGACCTGGGTTCTCAGTTTGTGTGTATAACCCAGATGTTATGTTTGCTTTGGGTGTATTCTGGTGAGATCTTGCAGTGATTCATTTGTGAAAAAATTTTTTTTATTAATGTCTGTCTACCCCCACTGATTGTATTCTCCACGAGGGCAGGGACCCTGTCTCTTTTTAGCTCACCAATTTTATCCCTAGTGCCTGGCACATGGTAGGAGCTCAGCAAATATTTATTGAAAGAATGATTGGGTACAAACTGTTTCTTGGTGTGCTTTAGTAGTTATAATTTGTCTCCGAACCATTATAGGCACAGTTATAGTTATTTGTTACAGTGTGACAGATGTCTCATATTCTCTGAGAACATGAGAATTGTTTGAATGACATGTGTGATGTACTTTTATGTCTATGTGCATTCTGGCTGCGTTTTATTCACGCAATCTGGGCGTCGGTGGTGGCACTTCAGGAACTATTTATTAAACATCCATTATATGTCAGATCCTGGGTTAGGCCGCGAGCAAAAGTGACTTCTGCCTACCCTGGTAAATTTGGAGGTGAGATGTTAAGAAGAGTAGGAACTAGCAAAGCCTGTTTCCTACAGCGGCGGGAAGGCGGATGAGTGGCTGGGGCTGGTACTTGGACTAGGGGTGGAGCTCCATTCAAGTAGCTCCGCCCCCCGGGTGTCACTATTTTGCACTCCGGAACGTTTTTGCTCCGTCCCACCACGTTTGCCTTCGGACTCTTGAGTAACAAGCACTTCCGGAGTCTCCCGGCGACTAGGCGTGTTCTGACGACTAAAGCGAGCTTCTGGAGTCTCGTGCGCCGGCCTGCTTCGCTCGCGGCCTCGCGCCTCTGTTTCCCGGCCCCATGGCTGGGCTGACCTTGTTTGTGAGCCGCCTTCCTCCCTCGGCCCGCAGTGAGCAGCTAGAGGAGCTGTTCAGTCAGGTGGGGCCGGTGAAGCAGTGCTTCGTGGTGACTGAGAAAGGTAGGGGGGCGGGGTGGTCGGAGCTAGGGCCGGCGTTTCTGGGAAGAGGGACCGGGGCGAGGACGTCCTCCCAGACTTCAGCGTGCCGTGATTTTTTTACCCGCCCCTAAAAGAAAGGTCTGGGTATTTTCTTCCAAACTGACTCTGCTCTAGATGAGTCCATAGGGGGCCCGTTTCTGAAAAATCAAAGCGTTCCCTTACGTTTCTACAGCGCTTTCCGTTTATGAGGCGCACTCGTAGACAAGATCTTATTTGGTAACCATGAAAAGCACCACTTTTTAAGGAAACATCAGTAAGGCTTATTGACCGTCAGCTGATTGCCAGGTACGGTGCTGAGTTCCACACGTGTTATCTCATTTAATTTTCTCAACAATCTTGCTGGGTGGAGAGTCAGCCCCATTTTACAGACGAGGAATCTGGGGCTTAGGGAAATTCGGTACCTTTAGCTTAAGTGTGTACGGCTAGTAAGTAGCAGACGCAGAATTTGATCACCAGAGCTCTTAACCATCATGTGCTTCATTTACTCAGTTGTTTATTCAGTAACTATTGAGTAGAATGCCTACCATGTGCCAGGCACTGCTGTATCCCCTGTAGGTCCTGAGGATATAGCAGTATCCTCAAAACCAACCCAAAAACCTTGCTCTTATGTATGTCTTCAAGAT